ATTATAATATATTTTCTAAAACATTTATAATCAATCTTAAAAACATTTATAATGAATATTAATAATATTAATTTGCTGTTTTATTCATTTTTTCAAAAAGCAAAGTTTTAAATTATAATAGCCACAAAGCATTGTATTTAAAACTGTTCAGTAGCATATGTGATTTCTTTTCTTCTTTTAACCATTTGGTCTTGTATATAAATTGCATTTTAAATTAATTTAGGCATATTTTAATTAATTAAAGAGTTAAACTCTGATGGCGTTCTATTATAGCAATAGTAAACGATGTCAAAAAAAGATGTAAGCAAACGTTAGAAATCTGCCAGTCCGATTCTCATTTGCGAATAACAAGTAAATGTCCTGAGCCCCCCCCCCCCAGTGCACTTACAAGTTGTTTGTGACATACATGTCCTGTGAAAATTTCAGCTTTTTTTTGGGGGGGGAGGGGGTTATTTTTGGGGATATTTTTCTGAAATCCATAAAACCATGATATCTCTTATATTTCCATACATTGATCTTTATGGTTTTTTTTTTTTTTTTTTTTTTTTTTTTAAACCTTTAATTCCAAAACACATCTAATTGTGTTAAGTAATTTGTTTTTCTCAGCTGCATATTTTATTACCTCAGTAATAAGATAAATTATATGACGATTATAGTCTTTATTTTAGTGGTTCCTATTTGTTTCCAGAATTCATTCTTACAGCACATAACGTAGTTAGTTTTACTTCACATTCAAAACTTTTCTAAGGAACTCAATTCCTGTTTTGTTTAATAAATATCAAGAGCATCATTATCTCTTTGTCTACACAAGATATATCAAAAGAAGTGTCTGAGATCAAATAGCTATATAAGACATATATCTTAGGAGAATTTTGACAGAACTATGTGATTTACAGAACTGTGTGTCTGCTTATTCTTCTTATTGCCTTCTCTTTCTTCGAAAAGATTCACATGTTATATTACAACTATAAACAGAAACAGATAGGGCTACTGAGAGTTCAGAAAGTTTCCCGAGGTGCTGGTATCTATGATGGTACTTTGTCACCTGATACTGATGGTTTAAAAACATGAAACATAAATCATGATTGTAGAATGCATACAGAAAAAAAGAATTAATTCTTAGAAAGATTAACGACACTCTGAAAAAATTTGAAAGATACACTAATGGTAATCATATTAAACTCAACATCTTAACCCCATTAATTGTTAACTCGGCATAAATTCACAAACTTTGGATTTAATTCTTTATTCTGTTTCATAAAAGCAATGAATTTTGATGTCCTGCTGATCAGATTATTTCATAAAATGTTATAAAGGCACAGACACTGTTCTTTTTGGATGTATATTTAATATTTGCATTTCTTTTTTTTTTCTTTTGCCTTATATATTTTCTCACTATTTAATTTTATGTTATGATTTTTACAATAATCTTGTTACTGACAACATGTTATATTTTACTATAGAGTTTGTGTGAATGGCAACAGTTGTTCATGTTTATATTTTATTATAATAGCGTTCTTAGCCGCACTGTGCTGCAGGAACATTTTCTGTTAAAAGAATTATTCATGTTTTAGAATGTTTAATAAAGTTTGTCTACAAAGCTAGGCTACTAGGCACCTTTATGCGAACAGGAAAATGTTTGCCAAGATTAAGACGTTCAAGTAGGTGTCCTAGCAGCCTTGGTGAAAGTTGCTTTTTTCATGATACTCAACTTCACCTTGCCTTCAAGTGCCGGAACTTTTGTATTTTTATATCAGGGAACCTAATCTTGGTGAGCAACTGCCTACTTGAAAAGGGTGATGATACCTTTGTGCAAGCTGGCATCTGCTCTCTAAAAATTAAGACCATCAGATGAGTGCCCTGGCGGCCTTGATGAGCATTGCTTTCCTCACAAAAGTGAATTTCATAATGGTGCCAGCACCTTGCACCTCCGCAAAGGGTTAGTAACACAGAAAAGATGATGCAGCAGTTAGACCAAACCCATTTACCCCTGACTATAATTGTAATTTTAATAAAGAAGTTACTGATATATGTATAACAAACATGAAGATGTGAACTAAAAAATATTGATTAGATGGGAGAAAAAAGACAGTAGCAGGCAAAAAAATAGGCGAGAAACTCAGGAATAACCATAACTTAAATTATAAATTTCAGCATTTCTGTGTAAACATAAATAACAGTATGCAAAAAATTATTTTAAAATTAAACAAGTGTGATAAATTAGACTTCAAATGGAAGAACTACAGGGAACTAACCTATTAAAGAAACTTTTTTTGATTTTAGAATTTCACTTCTGGGATATGTAGAGAGAATAGCATTGAATATGAAATTTAATTTTACAGTACAGACTTATAAAAATCTTAAATTACTTTTTTAACCTACATAGATGGATAGCTTTTCAATTGGTTACACACAAAAAATTCTTCTAGCTCTTGATATAGTACAAAGTCTGAAATCCAGACATCCAATATCTGGAACGATCTAAAATTCAAAGTTCAAAGCCATCAACAATTTTTTATTATTTTTTTGTATCCTTTACACATGTGCATGTGGAGGGTCCCGATTCTTAATTTCACTTCAGCACTAAATAAAATACCTTGTATTGAAGAAACAATCATTTTGGCATAAATTTGTGTCATCCATAATTTGGCTCTGTAGCTTGACATGCATCTCAAACCGAAGCATTCTACACAGAAAAATTGTTGGTTTTATACCTACTAATATTTTACATCCCTGACGCCAACCTGTCGAATCATTCATGACAACTTGAGTGGCAACTCATGCAGTGAGGCCTACACAATTTTTTATATTAATAATTGAATAACAAAGAGTATGGTGACCTTTTATGTTGATATTACGCTTGGCGATGATTATAGACTAAAGTTATATGTGCTAAGAAATGTTGACGAGGAAAACATTAACAAAAATTTCTTCCACATGCTAAAAATAGATTTTGTTAATGATACTTATGTGCTAAAGGATTACATTTAGTGCTATTTTAATTTAAAATAGCTGCTTTATGATTCACATAACTCCAGAACTGACACCACAGCTCGTATGGCCGCACCGAGCACGTGCAAGAAATACACTAACTAATAACTAAACTAATACAATTCAGACATAATTGTCTCGGTGTGCGATAGAAGCAAGACAAAATTTTGTGGAACAACTTGTCTTTCATTGCCAGTCTTATGATAAATAGCCAATAATGTATAGTGAATGCTATTAAGCTAGGCTAAATTTATGCTTTACTGAGTCCAAGGAATTTTAGTTAATATAGTATATTACACTGTTCCTTAGCTTTGTGGTTTGATCTAGCTTATTATTTTTTGCAGGGTTTTTTAATTACAGCAATTTTATAAAAATTAAAGTTTGAAAATTCAATTATGTCAAAAAGCGTTTCTAATTCGGGAGCAGCAACAGGATCTACAAAGTGAAAGCATGTTTTGATGTCCATTAAACAAAAAGAGGAATTGCTACAGAAAATGGATAAAGGTATATCCATCTCAAAATTATGCGAGGAATATGACATTGGAATGTCAACTGTATATGACATTAGAAGACAGAAAAAAGAACTTTTTGAATTTTTTGTTGATTCTGAAACCTCACTTGCAATGAATAACAGAAAAATTATTTGTTATGCTAAAAGTGACAATCATGATAAAGTAGTGACTGAATGGGTCAGACAGTGTCACAACGAGGGCGTGACATTGACAAAGTCCAATGCTAATGGCTCAAGCCAAATATTTCATGAATTTCTGTTATCGGTCTTGCAAAATCCTGCCCATTTGCAGACAAATTACTGGAAAATATATGGTTTATTGTGATCAACTATTTGATTAATATGATAAAAATATTACAGACTAAATTAAAAAAATTAAGTCGCCAAATAACTGCCAAGTGACAGAAAAATGCCACCAAATAGCTTAATTTTCATTTCAGTCAACCATTTAAAACTAAACAGAAAAATAACTTTAGTTTAATGTAGATTTTGAGGATGATCAGGCACAGGTAATCCAAAAAAATTTCTGCAGAATTTTTTTTTCTTTCCTTGAAATAAAAAAAATCCTCTGAAAATGTTTGAAACAAACTAAAGTTGCTTTTTTGCTTGATTTAAAATTTGCATAACCTCTTTGAACGAGGGATGCGTTCTAAATATTAAAATGAGGGTACAGCATCAATCAAAATCAAATACTTTTCAAAAACACTGTAGAGTCCACTAGATTCATTTTTGCGTGAAAAATTGGAAAACTAGTAACTGTAGAAGAAGGGTTAAAAGTACCCTTTATTAACTCTTTAAGATTTACAATGCGTCAACTCGACGCTAACAAACTACGCCTCTTCTTGAGCGGTAACTGAAATTCACATAACAAAACTAAAGATCTGGAGATATGTTCTCATAAACCACCTAATGTAATTTTTTCTAACATGACTTTGATGCAGCACTGACATTTATATGCTCTCAAGGAATAATTTAAATGTGTATGATGTGTTCTCCCCTTTTTCGATTTCAGTTAAATATACAAAAGAAAAAGCAGCAGCAGAGCTGATTTAATTTTTGACAAAACTTTCAATGCTGCAAAAAATGTAATAAATCTGCAAACATGATATTAAATAAATATCAAAATCCTAAAACATGCATATTAAAAATTAAAAAATGCAAGAAATTTCTATACAATTTAAAATAAACTTTGATAGAAACAGCTTTGTGTTTCAAAACAAAATCTCTTAATTAAGTGTATTATAAGATAAATATTTACAAATTAAAATTGACCAATTTTTAACTTAAAAATATAAAAACACTCCTCCTATTTTTAACTGCAAATATAAATAAGGCTCAGGCAAAAATCAAAGGAGTACTACATGAACGTTACTCCGTTAAGCATTTTAACTCGCAATATATATTTCGAATATTGAAACAATGTATAAATATTTCAAATGTTCATTATTCAAATACAAATATTTCAAACATTCACTGAATATAACAATGAATTTACCACCTTTTCCAAAATGTTAGACTGATTTGTCTTCTGTGACCTATTCTGTTTTTGATTCTTAGCATTATTACTATGTTTCCGCTTCTGAAAGAATAAAAATTTTTTTGTTATGAACATAATTGAGTTGACATCTTTTTAGTTTACATTAGGGGTACTATAAACGAAAAATGCACTTCTGCTCGCACTGCGGAAAAATGGCAACTTTTAAAACTACCAAATTTTGAACACACATAGTCTTCGAACACATTTCCCTCGAAGTCATAATTTTGAAATTATTTTTGATTGATTGATATTTTGTACTAATTTAACGAATTTTTGGTTAATAAACTCAGTGATTTGAAAGCAAGCAATGGCAACACTATTTGAAATAAAAAATTTGTATCTCCTATGCAAGAGGCAGTTCCCATTTGGTTTTTCAATTTTAATCAACAAATTCCACTATTTTAAAACAATGTGTTGCCACTGCCTGAAGTAAAATACTTTTCCTTTCCATGTGTTGTCACAGAGTAACATATTTAACTATATAACATATGTAACATATTTAACATATTAACTATTAACATATATAACATATTTAACAGAGTAACAAATTTAATCTGTCTGCTGTAATATATCAAACTGAGGGATTTAAAAGTAATAACTGCAGCGCTAGTTTTTAATTTCACTGCTTTAAATAAAACATATTTAAATCATAAAATGTATAACTAGAAATATGCATTAATATCATTACACATTATTTTCTTTTTTTATGATAACCAGTTTAGGTGCTTGCCTGCACAAAAATAAAAATAAAAATAAAAAGTTTATTGACTAGGCACAAAAATAAAAAGTTTATTGACTAGTTAAATAAAAAGATAGACACAACTGAATACATTTAAGAAGTTTTTCTTTTACCTGAAATATTTATTTTAAATGATCCCACCTACCATAAAGAAAGTCTAATGTTAAAAATATTTGTCACTTTCTGGTTATCTGTATCCCCCCAACTGAAAAGATGTAAACTCACTGCTAACTTTGGAAAGAAATGTTTATTATCCAAGGATGCATCCAGTCAGTGGTGTAGCTAGGGTGGGGCAAGGAGGGACATCTGTTCCTGGGCGCAGCATTCAGGGGGTGCCGAATTGATGTTGGGAAATTTTAGACTGAAATGTTTTCCATTTTTGGCACACAGAAAGGGGAACAAAATCTTCAGTTGTCATCAGGCACTTAAAACCCTAGCTACACCTCTGCATAAAGTGGTGCCTACAATACATTTTGGTGTATTGCACAATACATGAAGTATTGCCCCATTAATACATTTTCACTGCTTTTCAGTACAGGTGTGGATGATCTGAAAGTACGAAACATTCTACGTGAGAATTTTAGCCTACAGCACTTTTTTTGCCATTCCTTCATTAGTCTATTGCATATTTGTACACTTCCTCAGTGCACAATCCTGCTTAGAAAGCTGTCATTGATGAAAAATTTTAGAATTAGAATATAAAATTAAATTAGAATATAAAAGTATATAAATTAAAGGTTATTGCTGTATCTTGCCCCCTTCACCTGGAGGGAGGAGGCATTATCTATCTATCTTTATACACATTATAAAACGTCCCCAATACATAACCCCCCTAGCAACCTAGCTGCTCAACCAATTGAAATAAAATTTCGAATATTCTTATTTGAAGGTAGCATTTTTACCCTGCACAAATTATTAGTCAGAAATTGCATTGGAACAATACATGTATGATGAAAACTGCCGGCATGAAATATTTGCATTAGAAAATCAAGGATCAATAACAACACAAAGAAGAGCACTGTAAAGAACCAATGACATGGAGAAAGAAAAGAAAAGCATTGCAAAGGACCAATGACATGGACAGGAGATTGAAAAAAAAAAAAAAACTTTTATTGGAAGTACAAGTTTTCAGCGTGTCCACCTGTGTAGACAATAACACACTGCATACAGCAATGTGATTGTTGACTGCAGTGACAAATGCAACACTGCAAAAGAAATCTGTATAACATCACATTTTATGGCATCACTCAATTCTGACAGATCTTGTGGACTAAGTGTAAATATTGCAGATAACCACAGAACCAGAAATCCGTCACAGTGAGGTCAGGGGTACTGTGGTGGCCATGGAACTAAGTTAAAGGAGATGACTCTACCTCCAAACTACCACTGCCGTGCTTGCCGAAAACGTGGTGATGTGTGGACAAGCACTATCTTGCATCCATTCAATGTCATTGACATTTTGCTGCTGCAATTTGTTGTATACTGAGCACTTGTGATGGAGCATGTTTTCGTAGCTGTAGAAATGACCTCTTTAAAGAAGTACAAAACTAGAATGAATGTGCTTGCTATGCCACATCAAACAGTCACAGCTTCATGTAAAGGTACTGGTACCACATCGTGAAGATTTTCTTCAGCCCAATAAAGGCAGCTCATGGAGTTTATGTTCTTAGTTAACAAAAAATATGCTTCATCCATCCATAGTATCCACAGTGGCCACCTGCTATCTTTGCTATATCTGATGATGGAAAAACTCATAAAGTCCACATGCTGTTGTTCATCTCTAGGTTGCTACATCTGGACGTGGTGGAATCGATAAGGAAACAGCAGGACTACGGTTTTTGGTACATCCAAATTGCAGACAACATTTCTTGCCGTATGCAATGAACCTTCAGTATTCGTGTTATACACTTCTCCAACAACTTCAACAGGAACACACGGTTGTCTGGATCATGGTCTATCACATGTCCATCTAGATTCTTTAATTTCTTTTTTCCAAATCATGTGCAGTTTTTATGGAGTATAGGCCTCGTCTTAGCTTATGATTTCACCAATAAACTTGCATTGCTTCTGCAGCATTTTCCTCATTCAGATAAAACAGCTTTATCAATTCACCTTATTGTTTTCTTGTATGTATTGTCTTGTTAGCACGTTTAAACACCTGATTGAAGAAATAATCTTCCCTCATTCCTTATTAAAATTTTTCCACAAGCAATGCTTTACACATGGTCGGTGCTTTTACTGTCAGTCCCTGAAAATTATGCAAAAGTGCATCAATGCAACTCCTCTCTGTGTTGTGATTGGTCCTTTACAATGCTCCTAATCGAAAATGATTTGTGCAGGGGGAAAAAGGGAAGTTTTCATTTTAAAAATTTCAAAAATTTTTCACTCCATAATTGTGAGAGTTCTATTGTTTTAAGTCATCACAATCTCGAGCACATACTTTCAAATAACAATGTCTGAAATTTTATTTTGGTTACTTAAGTGGATAGACCACTAAGGGTTCGTATATGAAGGAAGTTTTCCTATGACCATCCCGTATATACATCCATGTGCAACATTAGTAGAATTTGCAAATTATGTCTATTTTTATACAAAGTACAGAACCAAAGACACTAATTCTGATGCTGAAGTATTATACAAATATTCAGAATCAGATACATAAGCGTACACATGCATGTTTTGGGAGCTGTGATTGTGGAGGGGATATAAGTGCAAAAGGGTTTTTTGACAATTTATGCACTCGTATTCCTTAACGACATTCACTGTATATCTTGCAAGAGTTGCAATAGTTGATCAGGCATCCCATAAAATGAGTAGCCACGAATATAACAGACAGAATAAGTTGGAGAATCGTTGGTAGATTTGAGGCAGGCCAATGACAAGCACAGGTGGCTACAGAGCTAAATGTAACACCTAATGTCATGTGCAATTTACGAAAACAGTTTCAGGACAATGGATCCATACTGAGAAGACCTGTTAACATGGTGCAAATAACAGGGTTGCCACTCAAAGAGGAGAATGAAATTCCCCGACTTTTCCAGGTTTTCCATGTATGTTTCGAGAAAATTCCAGTCTATCCGCGTAATGTACGTTGGCTGTGCTAAGAGGTAAATTAATATTTCGTGAAGTCATCATACTGCTAGAATTAATTTCAGGATTATGCCAGAGAAAATTTAATGAAATTTGGAAATATTATTTACTAATGATACATAAATTTAGAGGAAGAAAGCAACATTAAATGATACGAATAACATAAAAATAAAGATAATTACTTAAAAATTTAATTAGAATAATTATTAATTTAATAGATATAAGTGCAAAAGGGCTTTTTGACATGCATCGTATTCCTTACGACATTCACTGTATATCTTGCAAGAGTTGCAATAGTTGATCAGGCATCCCAAAAATGATAGCCACGAATATAACAGACAGAATAAGTTGGAGAATCGTTGGTAGATTTGAGGCAGGCCAATGACAAGCACAGGTGGCTACAGAGCTAAATGTAACACCTAATGTCATGTGCAATTTACGAAAACAGTTTCAGGACAATGGATCCATACTGAGAAGACCTGTTAACATGGTGCAAATAACAGGGTTGCCACTCAAAGAGGAGAATGAAATTCCCCGACTTTTCCAGGTATGTTTCGAGAAAATTCCAGTCTATCCGCGTAATGTACGTTGGCTGTGCTAAGAGGTAAATTAATATTTCGTGATGTCATCATACTGCTAGAATTAATTTCAGGATTATGCCAGAGAAAATTTCCTGAAATTTGGAAATATTATTTACTAATGATACATAAATTTAGAGGGAAGAAGCAACATTAAATGATACAAATAACATAAAAATAAAGATAATTACTTAAAAATTTAATTAGAATAATCAACGATATTTTAGCGAAATATAGTTACATATGGTTATCCTAGATGATTGATTACTATTTTTTTATTTAACTGCAAAATGACAAGGTATTTATTAAAAAGAAAAAAAGATTTTGCGGTAAAATCCTAGTATACGATACGGCCTTCGCATGATTTTGAAAATTGTCGCCAAGAACAAAATGACCCGTTTACTGCTCATCATCATGTCGCCAAATCCCGCTGTACCAAGGTTCGTACACATTTCTGCACACGGAAATTAAGTACTTTTAAGGACCATTAATGAAAAAATTAAGGACCTATGAGCAAATGGGAACTGAATAAAAAAATTCAATTAGTATTATCCCTGCCTTAATTTCACTTTTGTAATACCATCCTAAAAATGAAACAGATCCCTAAGTAGTATGCATTATTAATAAACATGAAT